GGGCGGGGCCGTACAGAGGGCCGTTGCCTTGAGTGTCTTGTCAGGCTCTCAGGCGGCACATGTTCTGAGGCACCCGCCCGCATGTTCTGAGGCACCCTATGACATCATCCCAGGCTCGTGCGCTCTGCCACGACGCTGCTGGCAGCCGCTACAGCGGGTAAGGCTTTGGGGCGCCGCGCGGCGAGCAGCCGCTGCGGCTCACCGATTGGGCCCAGGGTGACCAAGGAGCAGCCCTCCGCCTCTGAGGCCATGCGGCCCTGCGTCGGCTTGAACCCCACCACGCCGCACACCGCGGCCGGGATGCGCACCGACCCGCCGCCGTCGGTGCCGATGGCGAACGCGCACACGCCGGCCGCGACGACGCAGGCGCTACCGCCGCTGTGGGGGGCGGGCGGGCGGGAAGGGAGGGCGTCAGCGGGGGTTGTGGGCCAGGCGAGTCTGGCGGGAGGCGGAGCGCGTGCGTAATCACGTTCCCGGCGCATTTTGACATGCAACAGGGCGCACGACTTTGAGAGGAGGATGATTTGCAGAGGCCACTGCAGATTGGGGCGTGCTCTGGGCGCACCTGGAACCCCCCGGGATGCAGTTAGGGCTGTGGGGGTTGCGCGCCAGCCCCTGCTGCGCGGATATGCCGGTGGGCAGCAGGCCGAACTCCTGCGGGCCAGGCAAAGGACGGGCGGCGGCGACACGACGCAGCGCTCAGCCCGCCGCTCGTGAGCCCACAACCCCTGGACTTAGGCAGCGGGCGTGGCTGCGCGCCGCTGGCGGTGGCGCGCCCCGGCGGGCGCGACAGAGGCGTGACAGCAGCGGCCCATGACTGGTGCAGCCGCGGGTCGTCAGGGGCGGTGCCTTGACGAGCCCGCCAACCCACGGGACGTGGCAGGCGCGGCTGCTTGCTTGCTTCCGCCCCTCCGCACCTGCATCTGCGTTTTGCCAACAAGCAGCGCCCCCAGGCTACGTAGCGCCGCCACTGCCGGCGCCTCCAGGGCTACGTCCAGCACAGGCCCGCGCCTGAGGCGACGCGCGCGGGGACGACGAGACGGCAGATGTTGTGTGCCGAGGCGTGGACACTAAGACGAGTTGGTTAGCAGCTGGTAGAAGCGGCGGCACTTCACAGCCTCCTATGTTGCTGCCCACACATGTGGATTGACGGCGAGCGCCCGCCCCTGCGCACAACACGCTCCGATCCCGATTTTCTGGGCCCCTCACCCCGAGCGCGCTGCCCTTCCACCCTCGAGACCGCCCGGGCGCCGGCCCGCCAGCTCCACCCCCCCCCCTCAAAAGACCCAACCCCTCACATCTTGGCCAGGAAGGTTGTGCCGCCGCCGCTGGCGTGACCGTATGCGTCGATGACGTCCTTCACGCCGTAGGGGACGCCGTCCAGCACGCTCAGCGCCCCGCCGCGCGCGTAGCGCGCCGTCGCCGCCGCCGCCTGGGGGCGCATGTTGGGTCGTGCTGGGCGTTGGGCGCGTGAGGGCTTACGGAATGCCCCCGCAGCTTCCGCCGATTCCCCCTTTGCTGCATGCGGCTTGGGTGTGATGCATGCACCTGCAATTGAATGTTGCTGAATACTCATGCACTTGTCCGAACGCCGGGCCCTCAGGTCATTCGTCCCACCTGAGCGCGCAGGTGGTCCGGCCGGAAGTCGCAGAGCCAGTTCGCAGCACCCGCCTCGCTCCCCAGGAACTTGATGATCGCCTCGGCCACGTCGGACGGCGTGACATCACCTGCACACCACTCCGCCGAACCGGCTTGTCAGACCGCTTTGTACTCTCTCTCTTGCTCGCATGCAGCATGGCCGCCGGCCAGCGGATTGGACGGCACCCGCTCTGCCTGAATGGGCGACACTGCGCAAACGGCAGCAATGCGAGAGCGCTGGCTCCGCCACAGCGCCGGAGACGGCAGGAATCAGGCGAGGGACGCTGCAAGAATCGGCCCACCCACCAGCCAGGTATGCAGAATGGTAGTCTGATATCGACGGCCGCGCCCTCCGCCCCGCCGCGGCCCCGCCACCCGCCAGCTTCCGGCCCCCGCGGCCCGCGGCAGGCAGTGCATCGGCGCCGAGCGCGGCGAGTGCGGCTCGCACGCGAGCAGCAGGGCTGGCGGCGTCCGCCACAGGCAGGGAGCCGGCCTCTGCCTGCTGAGGGGGCTCCGGCATGCCTGTGGGCCTGTGCGGTTGTGCAAGTTTCCATAATCAAGGTGGGAGGCGGCCACAGAAGCGCCAGGATACGCATGGCATGCCGCGGTGCTCGTGCTGCGCGAGAGCTGCAGTGGAGTATGGGCTGCAGCTGTGCCAACCCACAGCAGGGGTATGCTGTACCGACAAAGTCATGCCCGTGGCGTTGCAGGCTTACTTTGGGGCCTCTGGGATGCATGTGCCCGTCAAAATCTGTTCCAGGGGTTTGGTTGCGACGTGGCATCAGGCATGGCGGCGGCGCCATGCGGGGACCAAATGCATGCTCACGCCGCATCGAAAGCCAGCAGGCAGCCACAAAATGTTGCGGGAACACACGCCCAGCGCAATGTATGCGCCTGGAGTGCATGCTGTGGAGAAATGCAGCCCGCCACTACTGTACCAGGAGACTAGGCCGCTGTCTGCGCTATCTGCATCATCAGACAGTCCCGCCCAGCAGCGCGCAGCGGCTGACTTATAGCGAGGGGCACACGCACCTTGGGTAGGGCGTTCTGGCTGCTGTAAAACTTGTATAGCAGCGTTGATGTCACGGGGTTCTCGCACAGGTGCCTGAATGCGATGAGCGGGGCGCCCATCACCTGCGGTCCTGCTAAGGCCCTCAAGTCGTACGCGGCCTTCCCTACGTCTATATCGCTCCATTCTTCGGCTGGTTTGGCGTCTTCCACGGCCATTGATGGCCAAAGAGCGCCGAGCATCGCTGCTGCTACCTTTGACCCGGCCCGAGGCTACAGCGGACGGCAATCGAGCCTTTGTCACAATAGAGACAACAGTGAAGCAGCAGGAAACATTAACAAGCTTGGATCCGGGATTGACCGCCGGGTGACGCAGAGGTTTCAATGACTACGGTAAGGTGTACGCAGGGTGTACAGTGCATCGAGTGCGATGGAGGCAGGCCGCCTGGGAGCGCGCATGCCCTTGCATGGTTAGGCTGAGTAAGGCGCTCTACTACATGCAGGTGTCACAGTCTCGTATACCAAAAAACACCGTACAACGGGTATGAGTGGGGGGACCACAACCGCATTGTGCGTACCGCTGCTTGCCGCATTTGCCATATGCGGCGTCTATGGTGACAGCCAGCTCTTCTGTTCGCCTCTTGGTGATTGCGCACTCACCATGCTTGCGTGTTCGGAGGTGATTTCATTTTATGCATGCAGTGGGATTTTGGTACCCTGGCACGCACAGGATGATACTGGCCGCACGGCGGCCCCAGCATGGCAGGGTTGACCTGAACGTGGTGCGACCATTTTACTTTTGCATGCTCTGCTTGTGAACATGCCATGCAAGGACCATGCGGGCGAATACTGGCGGATGCTCGGCAGCTGTCAGACAGACGCCACCCCAACCCCCTTCTCTGTCTCTGAAATTCGCCCCCATCCACTGGGCCCCACCTCATGCTTCCGCTCATGCAGCGCATCTTGCCTACAAGCGCCTGTGCCGCTGCAAAGTGGTAGTGCTTGTCCCCAGCCGTGCCTCGCTGATTACCCGCGCCCGTTGCTCATTATGCACACCCGCAACGTTTGGTTCAATTCAGACTCTGGCACCGCTTATGGAAGCTTCTCTATTGACATCACTCGCCAAGCGGTCCCGCACATGGCAAGTCAAGACGCAGAGCGGGTTGTCAGTGGCAGCTCGGGGTGGCGTCGGCAATCGAGCGAGCAGTGGCAGCACGGGGTGGCGTCGGCGATCGAGCGAGCACAGGTATGCTCTGGCCTTGTGCCTAATGCAAGCTTCAGGCCGACCTACTTGATACAAGTAATAAACTCATTTGAAGCTAATCATGCAACGTGTTGCACAGGCGGTGCAGTGTGCGCCGGCAGCGCCACAGTCCCGCACCCCAAGCACCGCCCAGCAATATCAAAGCTGGCGATGGCCGGGCTCCCCGTGGCAGGCATCTTGACTCTGTGTTTGTCTTATTTCTGGCCAGCGTATTCCAGGTTTCGCGGCAAGACATATGATGTGTCGTCGGGAGCGTTTTCGACCACGCAACTGCCAAGGTCACCACCGCCATGCACGAAATCGTGTGGCCCCTGCTACTCCTCCCTTTCCCTTCAGGTGCACTGGCGCGGTGGGCGCACAAAGCTTGCCAGACCAGTTTCATGTTATCTGGCTCCAACACCGCCCTTCTTCAATCTTTCGTCCCGGCCGTGCCCCAACCGGGCTGCGCGTGCCCTTCACGCTCCACCTAAACACCCTTTGCACCCGTTTTAAGTCTTGCTTCGCGAAACGCCGCGGATCAAGCGTCAGGCAGCGCTGCAGCAGCACAAGATCCTGCACGAGTCTCGACATGGCACCTTGTCCGACAGGTGCGCACGAACGTGCCACAACATGCAAGATTTCGAACACTTTCGCGGGACGTGAGGACGCCTCAGCGACCGCCGGGGTCTATGGCTTGCATGGGTCTCACCGCTGCCTGCACCTTGCCCATCGCCACTCACGCAGCAGTCTCCGGCATGGCCCAAGGCCAGACAAGCCTTCAGGGCAGCGGGCGCGTCAATGGCAGGTGCGTTGAACCACGCGTTGAAGGCGAGAGGCGCACAGTGGCCCGTGTTGTGTACCACAGCTCGGCGTGTCTGTGGTCCGCAGTTTGCTGCGAATCCGATAACACGCATATTTCACCGCTGTGCATGCATCAGCGGTCACCCCAACAGCACCGCCCCGCCTGCATCGCCGCGCACCACACGCAACAGGTCGGCAGTCCCGCGTCGCCCACGCGTGGCCGCCCCAGCCTCAGATTCGACGCTTGCGCCTTGGCAGCGCCGGGACCAGTGTGCCCGCCGCCCGGTTGCGCGGTGCCCGGCTGCCGTGAGTAGCTGGCGCTCGCTCGCGCCAGGCGAGGAGGCCTGCCGCGCTGAATCTGCCGCTGGCCCCAGCGGCGCAGACGCATTCGCCGCGCCAGAGGGCAGCAAGTTTGACCGCATCCTGCGCTTTGTGGAGCAGCACGATTTGGCAGGCACCTGCTCGTCCTCTGTGGCCGGCTTGGAGGCGAACAGCGCGGCGCCGCAGTGGCACAACTCATACGATGAGGAGGCGGAGGAGGGCGACGAGGCGCTGCCCGCTGCTGGCCCCGCCGCCGCTGCGTACGAAGCTGCGCAGCTGGCGCTCGCGGCCGCGTCGCTCTCGGGCGCGGACGTGTATGCCGTGGCGCCCGCCTGCAGCGTGGCGTTCTTGTACCCCAGCGATGCACGCGCCGCGGCAGCTGCGCGGCCTGCCGTGCCCGGCGCCGTTGGCACCATGGCGTACTTTATGAGCAAGCCTATTGATCAGTCATATGACGAGGAGGCGGAGGGCTGCTACGAGGCGGCCTCCGCTGAGGCCGCCGCGCTGCGCACCTCGCAGCTCGCGTCGTTCATGGAGCGCCGCGCCGAGTCGCGCGCCGCGTCGCGCGCGCGCCGCGCGGCGCTGCGCAGCTCGCCGGGCGACCTGGAGGCCATGGCTGCTTGGGTGGACGATGCGGCGGCAGCCAAGGCGGCGGAGGCAGCCAAGCGCGCCGCTGCGCGCATACCGGCGTCGCGGTACCCCAACCTGCAGGCCTTCCTGGCGGCGCGCGCGGGCGCGCTGGACGCCGTGGAGGCTGTGATCGACACACTGCAGCGCGAGCGGGGGCTGCAGGCGCGGTCCAACCAGGCGTGGCAGTACACATGGGACGAGGAGGTCCACGGGGCGCTCAGCAGCATGTGATGCGCGCGGCACTTGTCTAGACTGTGTTTCATTGTCACGGCGATGGCGCGGTGCGCGCTTCGCTTGTTTACGGGACGCCGCGGTTGCATGCGCACTTACTAGGGTGGCGTATCCGTTTGCCCTCACACCCCTCAGCCATCGAATTGCGGGGGCTGGGTCGCCCGCATCACAGCAGTGGGCATTTGCTCGCTCTCTGCAGCAGCTGCCTTGCAGCAAGTTGCAGGGGCGAGCACACCCACTTCCGAGTGTTTCCCTGTGTGCCTGTCGGGTTTTCCGGCGCAGCGCCGCCGGTGTGCCCGGTGCACGCGGCCAGCGCGGCGGTTGCCACAGGCGCGCCCAGGTTTCTCAAGCTGTCGGGTCTTCAAGGTTTTCAAGCGCCGTTGGGAGTGGTGCTGGGACTTGGCCGGCGCGCGTGCGCGGCCGATCCAGCTACGGGTGAGGCCACAATTTCTTCCCTGAATCGTGCTGACGTGTTTTGCGAGTGATATCGAGCGGTATTCTGTTACTGTCAACCAGGCGCGGACAAGGCAAAGGTGCGCCGCGCATGTCCCGGCGCCTCGCCCACGGCCCCACGCCAGCGCACGCCGCAGCAGCTGCGCCGATGTGCGATGTGCCGCCTGTCGAGGCCAAAACTGTATCATCCCCCTTCAAATCAACTTTGTGTTTGGATTGGTGAAAGGTGCTGCCACCCAATTGCAGCTGTCGAGGCCTCAAGGCCCAGCGCTCATCGGGGAAAGCCCCCGACCCTGCTTTTTCACGGCCGCCGATGTGGCCTCCACCACATGCTTGTCTGTCGAGCTGCTCAAAGTGTGCTGGCTCGCGTTGACGGCGTAAGTGGGGTCGCCCAGGTGGGCTTTCGATGGTGTGTTACTTCTAGATCTGCGGGGCGGCAATTCCACCCTGCTGGTGATGGGATAGGTACCATGCCTGCCCTTTTTGCGGCAGCTCACCCATATGCTTTACCCCTCATGTGCGCGTCGCAACGTGCTTGTGTAAATAATGTGGATTGATTGTGGCTTCCATTCCAACAGCGCAGCTCACAGTGTTGCCAGGAATGTCAGGCGCAACAGACTAGTCAGGGGTGACATGCTTGCGGTCAGCCCGCTGGAAGATGAAGAAGCTGTCACAGGCGAAGGCGACAGAGATGCTGCAGTCGCTATGCATGTGCTGATCAGAAATCCTGACACACATTGAACATTAGCGGAGCAATGACACAACCTTGCCTAGCACAACACAGTACCTCAAACACCCCACTCTACAGAGGGCACAGGCGCAACAGGTCGCTGGAGTGCCTGTATGCAGTCCATCAACAGCTCAATCACCAGGGAGTCAACGCCATAACCTGCAGCACCTGCCACAGTGCGTCATGCGGCACAAAGTCAAGTGCCATGTGCAGGTCAATGAACGCCAGGAGCAGTTGTGGCCCCTTGACCTGCCAGCGCTGCACCATGAGTGGGCGCAGCATGAAAGTGGCATCACACCACAGCCGGGCCGGGCCCAAACCCCAGTTGCGCCCACAACAGCCACGCGTCAAGGTGCTGTGAGAACCACCACCACACCAGCTACGTAGGCAATTCAGGGGAAGGAGAGGAGGCCGATTCCCCACAGATTTCCACATGCACGCCTACCTTTTTGCTGTTGTGCAGCCGCTTTGAACCCACACAGGCCATGCGCACCCACTAGATCACCTGCTGTTGCAGGCCCCCGTTGAACGCCTCAGACGTTGGCGGTCTCCACATGGCAAAGCCGTCAACAGCGTCCGCGACACTTTTCCCAATGCGCACTGCCCAGAAGTGAGAACTTTGCTGATGCCGCAGCCTTGCTTGGCGTCAATCACTTGCTCCGTCGGCAGGCTGAAGCGATTCAGTGAACGCCGCGCAGCGTGGCGGATGCCCAAAACTGTCGCTGCTGCTGCTGCTGCTGCTGCTGCTGCTGCTGCTGCTGCTGCTGCTGCTGCTGCTGCTGCTGCTGCTGCTGCTGCTGTTTATTGGCGTGTCATGAACGCAGCAGGAGCGGCAAACCCACGTGCATGGCAGGAAGCTGGACTTGACCCAGATCCTGTCAGGACAGGGTCAAGGGGCCGTGGCCAGGCTGGCTGAATGCCTGGTGGCTGCTCCTTCCTGTACATGGTATCCATGCCTACCAGACGATGCTCGCTCAGCGATGATTCAGTGCATCGATGTGCACCGGTGGAATGGATGCGCGCAGGGACACCCCAATCGCTTTGAGCACACTGCTGCTTGCCACACCTGCCGTGTGGAGTGGGTGTTGTGAGAGCCCCTTCAGGCGCGACACAGTGATGAGGTCTGCACGCATTCTTCAACGGAGTTTATGTATGCTAGCCAGCTCAATACAACGACTCTGTGGTGTTCTCCGGTGGCTCCTGGCACGCTCACACGGGGGTCAGCATACGTCAGGGTGAGCTCTTGTCCAGCGTGGCTGCATGCTTCGTAATCAAGTCCAACGGCCCAGTCCAGAGACGGTCCGGATGGAGGGGCGCCATCAGCGCGCGATCACAATACATTGTCTTCTTCAAAATGGATTTTAACTGTTGGTCATGCGCCGGCTGTGCCGATAGAAAGTGCCATGCTCTTACCACAGTGTCTGCGCTGAATGGTCCGGAAAAGTCTTCCCGCCCTGGCTCCCACGGCTGCAATGAGTGAAACGCACGGCGCTGGCCTCCTTTGAAAGAGTTGATGGAATCCAAGATGCATTTTGTGTACTTGATGGCAGCAACACAGCCATATGCACCCCCACTGGGCTCGATGCTGGGGATAATCCCAAGCGACTGCTGCTCGTTCCCTGAGTCATGCCTCAAAAACATGGTACAGGTCGCCGCATGCCGCCTGTATTCTCAGAGAAACGCTTTTAAAAAAAGTTTGATTTTATCGAGTTAACATCTCCGTCCATGTAGGCCCACGCAGTCCGGACACACCCCTCCGTGACAAAAGGCCACCTCGGTGTGTCATGAAGCGTGGTCGGAATCAGGGTGCGAGGGATTTGGTAAGCACCGCTACGAGTATAAAACGCGTATTGACATCAACCATTTCCATTCCACCACCTCCACCCACGCCTACCCACTCAAACAGTCCTCCACTCCCGCTCTTCAGGTGGGCACGATCGATCGTTTAGGATGTTGCATCATGCTCAAAGCGGCTGTATTGAGCATCAGATCAGGGGTATCGCACCAACACGTCCAGCCACCCCAGACCCCCTCAAGCCGCCAACCCAACACATCCTGGCAACCCATCTTGTCGCCGCTCTTTCCTCCCTCCCCTGCTCCCCAACACACACAGGCTTCATCACCCCACCCTTCACAATGGCTCGCATCCTCGCCGTGGCCGCCATGGCCGTGTTCGTCCTGGCCGCGCCCGCCCTTGCGGCCCGCGACCTCAAGCAGCTGGGCGCCGTCACCGGCGCCGTGAACGGCCTCCTGGGCACTGTGGGCACCACCGTCAACGGCCTCCCCGTTGTTGGCCCCGTCGTGGGCCCCGTTGTGGGCACTGTGGGCGGCACCGTGGGCGGCCTGCTCGGCACCGTC